CCCAAGGTTAAGAAGCACTGCTCTAGAAGATCTAAGTTGAAAAGGAATGCGAGTTTAGGTGGGTTGCAGTGTCAACTGAAGAAGTTGAAGCCTAGAAGAAAGCGTTTGGAACATCCCAGCGGCTTGATGCAGAGGATGGGCATCCATGTAGGCTTCTTTCTGAGAAGCATCATTACGTGTCTGGGGTTCAGAGACACCTGACCAAAAGGCAGGCTAAGAGCTCAGACTTGGCATCATTTGGTTGCACAGGAACAGGGCTGTCCATTTTGTCAGGCCCCTCCCTCTGTCCTGGGACATCAGTTGTCAAGCCTCGAAGCTTCTTGGAAAAAGCAATCCTGTCCTAACTTAAAAGGCCTGATGACCTTTAAGGCTCAATTGCCCACAGCTCCAAATTGCTGAGCGTTCTTTTACCTCAGTTTCCCATTATTCCACTTTGAAATGTTAATAAGGAGCAGACTGTAGTCTATTAGTAAGAAGCAAATACTCTTGTTGTGAAGAAGCAACTCTGGTGAGGGTCTTGACCTTTCTCTCTAGTTGCTAACTAGACCCAATCCCTGAAAGATTGTTCTTGTCTTTGAAACCAGCAACTTTGCCTAATATCTATTTACTTCAAATATTAGACAATGTCTGGAGGCTCCCTACAGGACTCATCTTTGCATAACTTCTCTAGGCCCATGAAGGTCTCCAGGGATTAACTTCTCTAACCTGAAAAGGGATTAACCATCCCTGAACAACCAGGAGAAGTAGGTGAGGGAAGAGTACCAATTTTTGTTTTGATAGGCTGGCCTGTAAATAAACTGTTTAGGGGGTTAGGACTGGATGGGATTAGGGCTACTGACTAGGAGAAAAAGTAATTATATCAGGGAGGCCAAAAATAAAAGAAAAACTGACCTGAAAATCCACCTCCCTGAAAAGTCAACCCGCAAAACTCAGCCACACAGCAAAAAAGAAATTTGGCTCTGTAAGTGCCAGCAGTATTAAGTGCTAGAGATTGTGGAAGTCATAAAGGGAAATTAACTGAAAGCCAGAGATGCCATTACTCATTCGGGAGCAATTTCGCTCTCCCAAAGTGAGGATACAATCTGCATCCCCTGGGGATGTTTTATCCTCAAATCTTTATTCCCCAGGCTGGGGCTTCTATTTCCTTCAAATTCTAAGTGGTACTACTATTGCCTGCTAATGGCTAGAAGAAGGCACCTGGGAGGGGACTGAAGAAGCTGAGGTTAGAGGAAAGCCCTCGCCGTCTCCAGGGTCTTTGTTCTTCCCAATCACTGCCAACTTCTCAAGGGATTGGTAGGCTTTTAAAAGTGCAGTGTCAAGGTTCAAGCCCTGTCTTACTCCAAGTCAAGAAAAGAGGAAGGTGGGTGGAAGGGACTGGACCAATTTCCAAGTACAGATTGAATATCGCTTATCCGAAATACTTGAGACCAGAAGTGTTTCAGATTTTGGATTTTATTTATTTATTTTTGAGATAGGATGCCACTTTCAGGATGAGTGCAGTAGCACAATCTTGGCTCAATGCAGCCTCCAGCCACTGGGCTCAAGCGATCTTCCCACGTTGGCCTCCCAGGTTGCTGAGACTGTAGGCACATGCCACGATGCCTGGCTAATTTTTGTATTTTTTGCAGAGACAGGGTTCTGCCATGTTGCCCAGGCTGATCTCAAGCAACCCTGGGCTCAAGCAATCTTCTCACCTTGGCCTCCCAAAGTTCTGGGTGCATGACCCATTGCACCCAACTTCTGGATACTTGCATATACATAATGAGATATCTTGGAGATGGGACCCAAGTCTAAACACAAAATTCATTTCATATACACCTCATACACATAGCCTGATAATCTTGTACGATATTTTAGTTTGTGCATGAAACAAAGTTTTTTTCTTTTGGAGATGGGTCTCACCCTGTCACCCATGCTGGAGTGCAGTGGCATGGTCATAATCACTACAGCCTTGACCCCTTGGGGTCAAGCAATTTTTACCCCAATCTTCCAAGTAGCTGGGACCACAGATGTGTGCCACCACACCCAGCCAGTTTTTAAATTATTTGTAGAGACAAGGTCTTGCTATATTGCCCAGGCTGGTCTCGAACTCCTGGGCTCAAGTGAACCTCCCACCTCAACTTCCCAAAGTGCTGGGATTATAGGTGTGAGCCAGTGTCCAGCTGAAACAAAGTTCTGACTGTGACCTGTCACATAAGATTAAGTGTGGAATCTTCTACTTGTGGCATAAGGGCCCTCAAAATTTCAAATTTTGGAGCATTGATGATTTTGGATTAGGGATGCTGATATATTTTGGATAGTTGTTCCCTCCAAATCTCATGTTGAACTTTGATGTCCAATGTTGGAGGCAGTGCCTAGGTGAAGGTATGTGAGTCAAGGGGGTGTATTCCTCCTGAATGGCTTGGTGCCTTCCTTGTGGTAGTGTTTTCATGGGTTATTTATTAAGTGCATGGCACCTCTCCTCCTCTCTTACTCCTTCTCTTGTCAAATGATACACCTGTTCCCTCTCTGCCTTCCACTACAATTGGAAACTTCCTGAGGTCCTCACCAGAAACAGATACTGGTGCCACGCTGCAGAACTGTGAGCTCGATAAACTTCTAAGTTACTCAGCCTCAGGTATTTCTTTGTAGTAATGCAAAATGGACCAAGACAGATGCTCTACCTGTATGTGGACATGGTGCTTAAAAGGGATTATTAGGGAGTAATCTGTGATACTGCTGGAGGTATGAAAAGTTGCTTGCATACTACCTTTGTCCAAATCTCACCTGGTTAAAGGCATAACCATATATATATATATATACATATATATATTGCTCAGACCAGAAATCTGAAAGTCACTATTCCCTTTGGAGATTCCACCATACTATGTATATTAAAGGCATTTAATATACTATGTATACTAAAGTCCTGAAGTAAATAAACTGGCTTCACTTTATTTAACCTGGTCTTGAGCACGGGATCTTTATGCCCCAAAGTACCTAGCAAACTATCTGAAAAACAGTGTTCTTTGCAATGCACTTTAGAAAACCTCAAACTATGGATCACGTACATAAAGTAAAAGCTTTCTACGATTTGGCTCTTAATTCTGTAATTTTACTGTTTGCTTCTCCCCATCTCCAACCATCTTCAGGTTCTTTTGGTTTATAAAATGTGCCACACTTTCAATCTTGTACCTGCTGTTTCTTGAAATGCACATGTTCTTTGTCCACCTGGCAAGCCCTACTCATCCTCCAAGTCCCAATCTCAGCATAATGACATAATCTGTGAAACTTCCTAAACTCTCCAAGTCACAATAAATCGTTTCCTCCTGTGTTTCCAGTGCACTTTATCCAAACTTTATTCACTGACTAAAAGTAATTGGTTTGAGAACTTTCCCATCCTGCTGGTTCCTTCATTAATGAGTTGTATAAATCTTTGGCATGTGCTCACTTAAACAAGTAATGAATTTGAGATGGTCTTTTCTACAGGTGTGAGCACTTCTCAAGATGGCAAGGACAGCAACTTATTCATCTCTGTTCTCAGCAACAATTATCATGCCTGCCACATAATAGGGCTGATGTTTTTGTTGAATGATGATGCCCCAAATCCAGGGTAGATACCCTCTCTCTAAATTAAGATAAATAGATGATTCAGGTTTGAGAGCTGTAAGTGTAAAACCAAACATGCTCAGACAGGTTAGAATTGTGACAATCTCGGCTGGGCACAGTGGCTCACGCCTATAATCCCAGCACTTTGGGAGGCCAAGGCGGGTGGATCACGAGGTCAAAAGATCGAGACCATCCTGGTCAACAAGGTGAAACCCCGTCTCTACTACAAAATACAAAAATTAGCTGGGCATGGTGGTGCCCGCCTGTAGTCCCAGCTACTCGGAAGGCTGAGGCAGGAGAATTGCTTGAACCCAGGAGGTGGAGGTTGTGGTGAGCCGAGATCGCACCATTGCACTCCAGCCTGGGTAACAAGAGCAAAACTCCGTCTCAAAACAAAAAACAAGAACTGTGATGATCTCTTTGTTTTGAGATAAGAGATTCAGAAAAAATACACTCAGTGCCAGATGAGATTCAGTAGTGTCTGTCTGTGTGCTGGGTGTAGTCACCCAGTGATCCAGGGAGATAGTAACCTGTCTTAGTGGTAGAAGGCAAGTGATAGCATTTCTTCTTCTTCTTTTTTTTTGAGAGATTTTCACTATTGCCCAGGCTGGAGTGTAATGGTGTGATCTTGGCTCACTGCAACCTCCTCCTCCCAGGTTCAAGTGATTCTCCTGCCTCAGCCTCCTGAGTAGCTGGGATTACAGGAGCCTGCCACCATGCCTGACTAATTTTGTATTTTTAGTAGAGATGGGGTTTCTCCATGTTGGTCAGGCTGGTCTCAAACTCCTGACCTCAGGTGATTCGCCCGCCTCAGCCTCCCAAAATGCAGGAATTACAGGGATGAGCCACTGTGCCTGGCCAATAGCATTTCTTAATGTCCCTGTCTGTTTATGCTAAGCCAGACAAGTAAACAGAATCATAAAGATGTCTCAGATAATATCATGGCTAAGTTGCACCCAAGCAGTCTCATATTCTATTTGAGTTGAGTTTAATGCAGCATTCTGACCAATGTCATTTCTACAAGCTGAGATTGCCCCAAATTTGGCTGCTTTCAAGAGCCTGAGTTTAGAGAATGCTGCTCAGAACAGTTCTTTTGGCAGGGGACAGAGTAAACAGAGGCTCTGATCATTAAAGATCAGGTATAAGTAAACAAAACAGGTTATTTATCACCTCTTGGCTGCTCTGCTTCTAGTAGGAAAAAAGTATTTGTTACTGATGAATAATTATTCTGTCATTGTCACGGAAATGAGTAAACCTAAAAACACAGAAAAGTGGAAAAAAACCCCCAAGGGAACAGCTTCTTGGACTTTTAAGTGAATGGTAACCTGTGGCCACATCATGCTCTACTCTGATTTTTAGCAATCAAGCCTCAAAAAAAAAAAAAAGACAGCAATAAATCCAATCCACATGGCTCTTGTAAAAAGGCATCTATTTGGCTTTTAATACAAAATGACTTAGAGAAATACAGAGAGAAAATATCATACAAGCTAGTTACTTAAAAAAAAAAAATTTCAACCAACAAATTTGTCACATTGGGCCTGCATTAGAAAACAGAAAACAAGAAAAAGAAAACAAATAAAACAGTCCCTGAAATCTGGCATGTGGTTTTTAGAAGCCATGGGGAGCTTGCCTTAGTCATCCTGGTGAAACGGGACAGAAGTGGTTTTTGGAATACGGCCACCGCCTCCTCTGTTTCTTGCTAGTAATGGTCATCTGAAGGGAGGGTGCTAGCCCGGGCAGCCAACATTTGACGTCACTTATGCAGTCTGAGGTCTTAAACACAAGCAGCCTTGGAATCTTCTATTCCATATCTTCACTGAATCTCTCCCATATACAGTCTCTTGTCACTCGATGCTGAGATAACTGAGGTAAAAAGAACAGAGCAGATAACTAGAAATAATGAAGGCTCAAGGAGACTTGGTACTCAAGGGCACTTGTGTCAAGAGCCAATTTTGGTATAAAAGAGCAATTGGATTTAGCTTAAATTCCTCTCCTCAACACCATCCACAAGAAATGGTAGCCTTGCTTTTCAATCCAAGTCCTCTAATATCATGAGGATGACTGTACTGTGGGAAATATGTTATCAGGCTCTAAATACTGATGTCCGCTGTCAGTCAATCCCCAAGAAAAAGACTTTCCCAGTCATTCAAGAAGAGAATATCTATGTCTGGACCAGTCATTTTGTAAATGTGCTTCTGCTTGTTACATTTAGCCCTGGAGAAAGTTACAGTTTGTCCTTTAATTCACGGCTTAAATTATTTGGTTTAGCCAGCAAAAAAATTTTAAGCTGAAATTTATAACTAAATATTAAGAAGTATCATTCTTTTAACCAAATACATCATTGAAACAGACTTGGTGGAAGTAAATTTAAAAAAACTAGACTTACCAACTTCCCTTTGAGGTCAAGAAGAAAATGGAACATTGCTCTTACCCTCACCACTTATGACCAATGGTGAGCCTCACTGATACCCATATAAAGACTGTTTGCGGCTGGGTGCAGCAGTTCATGCCTGTAATCCCAGCACTTTGGGAGGCTGAGGCGGGTGGATTACTTGAGGTCAGGAGTTCATAACCAGCCTAACATGGTGAAACCTCACCTCTACTAAAAATTAGTTGGGCATGGTGGTGGGTACCTGTAATCCCAGCTACTTGGGAGACTAAGACAGGAGAATAGCTTGAAACTGGGAGGTGGAGGTTGCAGTGAACAGAGCTCGCACCACTGCACTCCAGCCTGGGTGACACAGCAAGACTCCGTCTCAAAAAAAAAAAAAAAAAAAAAGGCTGTTTGAATGGAAATTCAAATAAAACAGATACCCACTTTTGACTCTGTATTCCCAGGATCCCTAAGTGGGGGTTTCCAGTTTCCTTTTCCCCCCTTGTCGGGACAGACTTACTGATGGGCTCGTCAGGGTGGAAAGCGACTTCATTGATGGAGCCAGCATGGCCAGGCAGCTTATACAATATTCTCCTGCTTGTAGTATCCCACACATACACAAACCTGTAAGGTATCATGAAAAGCAAGGATAAGGCCTTCTAGAACTGCGGGTAGGGCAGAGGCATGGCTATTCAAAGGAAATGAAAGCAACTATTATTTACTTACCTTACATTTACTGAACCATGTTCTGGCTTTTAGAAACTAGGAATAGAGAGTTTGAGTAAGACATGGACTTAGCTCTTGAGCAATGGGGTGGAGAAATAAAAAATCTAAGTAGTACTGGCACGTTCGAGTATAAGCTTCTGAAACGGGAAACACCATAGGGAAGAAAATAGTTTTTCCTCCAGACATCACACAAAAACCTTTTTTTTTTTTTTGAGACAGAGTTTCACTCTTGTTACTCAGGCTGGAGTGCAATGGCGCGATCTCGGCTCACCGCAACCTCCGCCTCCTGGGTTCAGGCAATTTTCCTGCCTCAGCCTCCTGAGTAGCTGGGATTACAGGCACGCACCAGCATGCCCAGATAATTTTTTTGTATTTTTAGTAGAGATGGGGTTTCACCATGTTAACCAGGATGGTCTCGATCTCTTGACCTTTTGGGAGGCTCGGCCTCCCAAAGTGCTGGGATTACAGGCTTGAGCCACTGTGTCTGGCCCACAAAAACCTTTTTTAAGATGTCTAGTATAATTAGGCTACAAAGCCTAAAAGGTAACCCAACTCATGGCAGGGTGGGAGCTTAGATTGTAGATCCAGGTGCACTTCTTAGTACTGTATTCAAACAGAGCCCAGAGAAGGGACAGGAAGTGTCTGATATATAAAATATTTATCGTATTTGCTAACCTAATACTCACTTGAGCCAAATTTTCCATTGAATTCACCAGCAAAAGGAATACTGAATTCTAGAATGGGAAAGGGCCAACAGAAATCAGCTTGTCTAGGTTGGGTGCGGTGGCTCATGCCTGTAATCCCAGTACTTTGTGAGGCCAAGTTGGGTGGATCATCTGAGGGCAGGAGTTCCAGACCAGCCTGGCTAACAAGGTGAAATCCCGTCTCTATTAAAAATACAAAAAATTAGCCAGGCGTGGTAGTGTGTATCTGTAATCCCAACTACTTGGGAGGCTGAGGCAGGAGAATTGCTTGAACCTGGGAAGTAGAGGTTGCAGTGAGCCAAGACTGTGCCACTGCCCTCTAGCCTGGGTGACAGACTCTGTCTCAAAAAAAGAAAGATAAAAAAATCAGTTTGTCTAAACTCCTCATTTTAGATATAAGAACACTGGGGTACAGTGAATTTTCCAAGGCAACACAGTTCATCAATGGCATAACTAAAATTAGAACTCTTGCCGGGCGCGGTGGCTCAGGCCTGTAATCCCAGCACTTTGGGAGGCCAAGGCGGGTGGATCACGAGGTCAAGAGATCGAGACCATCCTGGTCAACATGGTGAAACCCCGTCTCTACTAAAAATACAAAAAATTAGCTGGGCATGGTGGCGCGTGCCTGTAATCCCAGCTACTCAGGAGGCTGAGGCAGGAGAATTGCCTGAACCCAGGAGGTGGAGGTTGCGGTGAGCCAGGCACTCCAGCCTGGGTAACAAGAGTGAAACTCCGTCTCAAAAAAAAAAAAAATTAAAAAATTAAAAAAATTAAAAGAACTCTTTAAAAAATGAATTTATTAAAGAATGTTCTTAGGAAGACAATTTTTGATTTGTCATTTAAAAAAATCATGGGGTTGGGTATGGTGGCTCATGTCTATAATCTTAGCACTTTGTGGGGCCAAAGCTGGTGGACTGCTTCAGCTCAGGAGCTTGAGACCAGCCTGGGCAACATGGTAAAACCCCATCTCTACAAAAAAAATTAGCTAGGTGTGGTGGTGCCTGTGGTCCCAGCTACTTGGGAGGCCAAGGTGGGAGGACTGATTGAGTCCAGCAGGTTGAGGCTGCAGCGAGCTGAGATGGCACCACTGCACTCTAGCCTGGCTGACAGAGATCCTGTCTTAAGAAAAAAAAAAAGCTATGCTTTTTTCATGCTATGTAATAAAGGTAATGCAAGAGACGACAGTTATAAGCTTCTTTCTACTGGAATATTCTGGTATAATACAATGCAATTTCTGTAATGCTAGAATAAAAAAAACCTACTTCTACATTTCTCTTCAGAAGCCACAAATAATAACAGAAGATGGCATAACAAGGTGATTATTTTCTTATTCGTTCTGTAGTACTTGGGCCAGTATTTTTATCATCACAGGCCATAATTTTCACTTTGTCCACTTTAATAAGTTCTATCACCTTTTGGAATCCAATATCATTCAACAGAAAAGTCTACATATTATTACAGAATCTTTTTATTTTTCTAAATTAATATATATATTTTTTGGTAGAGACAGTGTCTTCCTATGTTGTTGAGGCTGGTCTTGAACTCCTAGACTCAAGTGATCTTCCCACCTTTGCCTCCCTAAGTGTTGGAATGACGGGCATAAGCCACTATGCATGGCATAAGGTAGAATCTGTATGTATTTAGAGAGCCCCTGAAATCAATTCTGATCCTGATCCTCTGAGTCAATGATGAGTTTATTATAGCCTTCTCAAACTGAAGTAAAACTTGAAGGGCAAGTTGAGTGAACTGCTGAGATTGCATGAGCTCATCTAGGCTCTCGTGAAGACTATTTTCCAAAGTAGTATTTCTGTATAACTGGTATGACATAGCTTAGGAAGAAGAAATTGTTTTTTCTTATTCAAGCTTGCCTTGATGTCCTGTGCTGAAGGCTTCCTGCCATGGAGTGGACAGAAGTGACCAGGAGCCCAGGAGGACGTTCCTGTGTTCCTGACCACCTCTTCTGCAGCCACAGATACTACAGAGCTGCAACTAAGACCCTGGAGCTCTTAATATACTCCAGTATTTTACTTTTGCTTACCATCTACAAATATACTGGCTAAAAATAAAAAGTTCCTTTGACTCTCAACCTTCCTGAAGTCATGAAAGGGGAAAATAAAGAACTACTATCTCTTAATCTGATGATGTAAAATTCATCTGTTGGTAAATATAAAGGGCTGGTGGCTTTGAAGCAAGTATTTAAAATTATTTACATATTTTGTTTTGTGCAATCAACAATTCACCAGTACTTGATCATAAAAATGGTACATTCACCAGTACTGGATTATAAAATTCCTAGTTCTAATCCAACATTACACTTTTGGTCAAAAATGCAAATAAACAAGAGCTTCTTAATTATACTATTTAGCTGTCATGAGCTAGGCTCCATAGAAACTAAGTAAAAGTTCTGAGCAAGATGGAAGAGAAGCAGGAACTCCATCCGTATAGACTCCTTGGCTCTGATACTCATTCCCTTCCTACTGTCTTCTTCCTTGTCATGCACAAAAAGCTGGTTCTCATTAATTCAACAAAAGGCAGTGTGGCATAGTGAAAGAGTATGAGCTCTGGAGTCAGACAGACTGGGGTTCAAGTCTCAGTGCAGCTATTTACTAGCTAAGTAATCTTAGCTCACAGAAGTTAAATAATATTTGGAGATCATTTAGCTTCTCTCTAAGCTTCTTAGTTAGTGATGGAGAAAATATTGATCTCCTAACTTTATTGATAAAAATGAGATAATATATGCAAAGTGCCTGGCACACAGAAATAATTATAGCTATTGTTATCATGAGTACATTCAGCATCAAAACAGAATCTCAAGAAGTCAATGGGCTGAATAAATCACTCTTGGCCGAGAGACTGGCCAGCCTTTCTGTAGTCCATAGGACTACTTAGGGTTTCAAGTTTGAATATGAGGAGGTGATTTGTAAGTTATTAGTTAATAGAAAGGAGAAGCTTGCCAAATCCAGGCCAAGTTGAAAAGCAGTTTTCTGAGTATACATTTCCCAGACACATAAAAGACAGAACCGCAAATCTCTAAGGGTTTACACTTCAAGGCCTCACTCTTGATGGCTGCCAATTAGATGCTAAATTTAGAGGGTTCCTTGCCCTCTCCTTACTTTGGCATGGCAACATTTGGCAGGAACCAGGAGCCTTATATAACAGAGCTGCTTGTTGACTTGGGGCTAATTGGTGAGGTTGCCTGTTAAATCTGGCCAACCCCCAACAGGTGGAGAGGGGCAGGTTTCCTCAGACCATGCTTCCACATGTGAATTTTTTTTTTTTTTTAAGAGACGGCGTCTTGCTCTGTTGTCAAGGCTGGAGAACAGTGGCATGATTGCAGCTTGCTGTATCCTCAAATTCCTGGGCTTAAGGGATCCTTCCACCTCCGCCTACCAAATAGCTGGGACTACAGATGGGAACTAGAATGTCTGGCTAATTTTTAAAATATTTTTTTTTTGGTAGAGACAGGGTCCTGCCATCTTGCCCAGGCTCGTCTCAAACTCTTGGGTGCAAGCCATCCTTTCACCTTGGCCGCTCAGAGTGTTGGGACTACAGGTGTGAACCACTGTGCATGGACCACATGTAAAGTTTAAAGGAAGAGTGGAGAGGAAAAGAGAAAAGCGGACATTGCAATTCAGAAAGGGCCAATGCTAGAAACAAACTGCTCAACAGAAAAAAAAGTATGTAAATATAATTAAAAAATTTAATTACAAAGGAAAGATACACTCTGCCCAAAAGTATGTAAAAATACTTAGAATAGTTCTTACTGTCAGAATACGAGACACCTTAGTCTGTTTCTTAAAGTCTTCTCCAGCAACTTGACAAGTTAAAATTCTTTCAATTTCCCCCTTCCAGGCAGCTTTCTAAACTACTTGCACTCAAATGACCAATGTGACACTTTCACCTGAATCCTTTCTATTTTCTCCAGAAAATACCTGAATACTTGTCTATTTTTCTTGATATTAAACTTGTCAGAAAAAAAATAGACCCTGGAATTTAAGTATGTTCATTATTATTTATAAATAGAAAGGTAAAAGACCACAGGACAGCTTCTGTGTGGCAATGCTAGGGCCCCAAATAGGGAAAAACCCTGGAATATGCTGCAAGCCCTGGCTAGCCCAAGAAAGGCTTCCTATTTATTGGATGGTGCTTGTTTCAGGAAGGTTGGAAGAGAAACTCTAAAGGGGAGGATAGGATTAAGCTAAAAAGGGTCAAGACATTGCCCAATGGGAGCTAAATGCAGAAATTGCTATCAGAGGGTTTTATCATTCTTTACCGTGCCACATTTGCAGCCCACCACACTTGACACCTGGACATCCCTATTTAACCTGATTCTCCCCTGAGCACAGGTTACCACAGACATGCCAAATACAACAACATCTGACAGAATAATTCTCTTCCTTCTGTTTCTCATTCAGCACTTAATGCCTGAGCCAGTTTAGATTCATATTTCATAAAGCCTTAGCTGATTAATTCAGCATTGGGTGGAAAATACCTAGTCCACATTTTATTATATCCTGCACCTAGCAATCATCATACTTCCCACTAACCCAGACACAGCTCTGAATCATCCCCAACATAGGCAGCCATTACCAATAGCTGAGCTGTTATGTAGGGTAAAATTTGACTGCCATTCTTCAACTAGGAATTCATTCATATAATATAAACTAAGTGGTTAGAAAAGCTCAAGCATTGACAACAGTGCCATGGGTTCACAGAAATGACTAAGATTCATTCCCTGATCTCTAGGAGAAAATAATTTAGTGAGGGTGCCTCACTTTGTCTGATTGTAAGATGTAAAAAATGCTAATAAAGCTTTCGCATTTCGTATGAAATGCGATTACAGCACAAAGAACAATTATTATGCCCAAGAGGTAATAGAGAGAGGGAGCCAGGGACAGTTTATAGATATAACATAGAGGTAGCCGCTACTAGAGAGATATAGGAATCTGAATAAAGAAGAGGGAATGTGAGAGAGAACCTGGAGGTGAGAAAGCAAAGGGAGGTTAGAATATGAGAATTCCATGTGAGCAGCACTGTGGTGATGGTGGGGGAGGTGGGTTCTTAATATGTAACCAAATGAACCGAAGCATGGCAGAAGAAATGTGGTGAGGGAGACCAGAGACAGATTATGAGACTTAGGGAACCCAACAGAACCAAACAAATTGTTGATCCTCTAGGTCTAAAATGTCTCCAAAATGAGTAGAAATGTTGTTTGTCCAACATAGCTTCGAAACCTTTCATGCCACACAGAGCTTCATCTTCAAGCAGTCATAACTCTATGTCTGCTCTAGCTCCATATCCATGTTTTATGCATGAAACACAAGAAGACATCCTCCATAGCTACATCATTTTTTTTTTTCTTTTTTTTTTTTTTTTTTTAAGATGGAGTCTCACTCTTGTTGCCCAGGCTGGAGTGCATGGTGCAACCTCCATCTCCCAGGTTCAAGTGATTCTCCTGCCTCAGCCTCCCAACTAGCTGGGATTACAGGCATGCTCCACAACGCCCAGCTAACTTTGTATTTTTAGAAGAGATGGGTTTCTCCATGTTGGTCAGACTGGTCTCAAACTCCTGACCTCAAGTAATCCATCCACCTTGGCCTCCCAAAGTGCTGGGATTACAGCTGTGAGCCACCGTGCCTGGCCAGCTACATCATCTTTTTTTTTTTAAAGATGAAACCAACAGGGTTTCACCATGTTGGTCAGGCTGGTTTTGAACTCCTAACCTCAGGTGTTATCGCCGGCCTTGGCCTCCAAAGTGCTTGGATTACAGGCGTGAGCCACCGAGCCTGGCCCAGCTACATCATTTTTTACTTTGCATCCAGTAATCCTTACCTGTCGGCTGAGCCAGCTGCTATTTTACTTCCATCAGGTGACCAAGAACATCTCAGAAGGTTCTATGATAAATAAGAATCCACTGAATAGTAATATACCAAACTCCTCTTTGCAAGGCTACAGAATCACTGAGAGGCTTTAAATTTCCTAAGTAGAGTTTTAATTGTTTTTCTCAGGAAGATCGTTATCTTATATTCTATGGCCTCCAATAGCATACTTTGTTATTTTACACCGTATAAAAACTGTAGAAAATGTTTAACTTACAATTAATTATATTGAACCTGGCAACAAAATTTTGTTCTACTTATAAATAGAGGCTCCCTTTATCTTGATATTCATTATTCTTTTTTCCTATTTATCTTGAATAAAAGCAAACCCAACAAATAATTTTTTTTTTTTTTTTTGAGACTGGGTCTTGCTCTATTGTACAGGTTGGAGTGCAGTGGCACAATCATAGCTCACTTAAGTTTTGACCTCCTGGGCCCAAGTGATACTCCCACTTCAGCCTCCCAGACAGCTGAGACTACAGGCACATGCCATCACAAGCAGATTTTTTATTTTTTGTAGAGACAGGGTCTCATTACGTTGTCCTGGCTGGTCTCTAACTCCTGGCCTCCTGCCTTGGCTTTCCAAAGTACTGGGATTACAACTGTGAGCCACCATGCCAGGTCTAAAAAATAAAATTTGATTTGTACAGTGAAACTGAATCCCAATGAGCTCTCAAAAGGAAAACGTTAATTTCTATTAACAAATTCTCTGAGAGTAAAAGCTTCTTTCAATAGAGCTGACCTTTAAATTTGAGGGTCTGAAAAAATTCTGTCTCTCAGAACTTGGGCTGTGGTAGGTACTGAGGGGAGAGATGTATTCTTAGGGTTCAAACATACCTGGTCATGGGGTAGGGAGGCAGGTGAGGGAGACCTTCTTAACAGCTATGGGAGCTTGGGTTCCATATGGAAAACTGATTTAAGAGGGTAGAATTCCCAAGTAATTAAAAGGCCAAGAGTGTCGTGTTGAAGGTGGTGTGAAGTCAGATGCCCTCAGTTTGAGAGCTGGCTCCATTACTTTTGAGCTATGTGACTGGCTTCTTCCCAATCATGAATATTTCTATTAGTTTTATTTTTGGCAGCAACAGTTTTGATTAAGAGCAGTGTTACTGGAATGAAGTCCATTCTCAGCAGAGCTACTGCTCTCTATCCTTAGTATCACCTGAAATGTTTCTTTGAATTAAATGAACAGTAAAACTCCCCTGCCATGCAGAACTCACCTTTTCAAAGTTGTGCACATTTCCTTGAAATATCTTTACACACCTCTCTTTGGGGGCAAATGGCCGGACATCCCAGACACGAACTGCAAAACAAATCCAAATAAACAAACCAACCAAAATAACTAACAGCCAGAGACCTCCTGAGCACCCAAATGAAATTAGTATCATGTTTATGACAGATGCTGTTTCCAGGATGGGGAAGTCCAGTATGACACACTGCTACCTGTTAAGCCTCTTTTCTTTTTCAAGCAGGAAAATACATCTAAATTCCAATAACTGGGGCTAGCTGAGGAGGCAGGAAGGAAGAATGTCACTCACAACGCTGGTAATTTGCAACAGAATGCAGCTGGCTGTGATACTAATTTCAAAGATATTTTGCAAAAGAGTCCTCTGCCAGCTTAGAGTCACATCCAGCAAAGCTTCAATAAGACAAACTAAATACCATGAACTACTATGATAATGAACTTATCAAAACCAAATTTATATTGCCCTTTCCTAATTTCCCTCATATGGGCACCTGAGAGTCTCAAACTGAACAAGGTCAAATATATATAAAATATATAAAAAGTCGCTGGGCTCAGTGGCTCATGCCTGTAATCTTAGCACTTTGGGAGGCTGAGGCAGGTGGATCACCTGAGGTCAGGAGTTCGAGACCAGCCTGACCAATATGGAGAAATCCCGTGTCTACCAGAAATACAAAATTAGCCAGGCGTGTTAGCTCATGCCTATAATCCCAGCTACTTGGGAGGATGAGGCAGAAGAATCGCTTGAACCTGGGAGGCAGAGTTTGCGGTCAGCAATATTTTGCCATTGTACTCCAGCCTCGGTAACAAGAGCAAAACTCCATCTAAAAACAAAACAAAACAAAACAAAGTCAAACAAATCAAGAGTATTACACCATACCAAAAATCAGAAAAAGTAAATACTGATTCTAAGTCTAGCTCTGTTGGATATCTGGGTGACATCAGGTAAACAGTGAGACTGTTTGTGTCTTGGTTTTCTTGCTCTGTAAAATGAAGAGAAAATTACCCGTTCTTTTTAAAATAATACTATTTTATTTATTTTTATTTTTTTTTGAGATGGGGTCTTACTCCGTCACCCAGGCTGGAGTGCAGCTACACGATCTCAGCTCACTGCAACCTCCGCCTCCAGGGTTCAGGCAATTTTCCTGCCTCAGACTCCCAGGTAGCTGGGACTAGAGGCATGTGCCACCATACCCAGTTAATTTTTGAATTTTTTAGTAGAAATGGGGTTTCACATATTGGACAGGCTGGGTCTCAAACTCCTGATCTTGTGATCTGCCCACCTTGGCCTCCCAAAGTGCTGGGATTACAAGCGTGAGCCACTGCGCCCAGCCTATTTATTTTTGAGATGGAGTTTCACTCTTGTTGCTCAGGCTGGAGTGGGTGGCACAATCTTGGCTCATTGCAACCTCTGCCTCCTGGATTCAAGTGACTGTCCTGCCTCAGTCTCCCAAGTAGCGTTCACCACCATGCCTGCCTAGTTTTTCTATTTTTAGTAGAGACAGAGTTTCACCATGTTGGCCAGGCTGGTCTTAAACTCCTGACCTCAGGTGATCCAACTGCCTTGGCCTTTCTAAAGTGCTGGAATTACAGGTGTGAGCCACCATGCCTGGCCATTAACATTATTTTAAAGATCCAATGAGATAACGTATGTGCAAAGGTTCTAAAATTTGTAGACAACAAAAATAATTTATAATTTTATTATGCAGCCATAGTGAGAAATTATTCTATTATTTTTTCCCTTATTTTAATATCAATTTAGGAAAGCTCACTATTCCTCATTATAAAGAATGCTAGAACTAGCTAGGCGTGGCACTTGGGAGGCTTGCTTGAGCCCAGGAGTTTGAGACTAGCCTTGGCAACACAGCAACATCCTGTCTTGCCAAAAAAAATCTTTTTAAATGCTAGATTATATGTATATAAACATCTATTGTAAGCAGCAACTACAGCTGTTGTAACTGAAGCTATACCTATAGTGGAATTTGAGAGATGTCATTTTATCTGAGTATGAAAAAAAGTACTATCAATTCTTGGAGTCAGGCATAAAAAGGCAAAGCTATGCATAAAAGTTTGTTACTGAGAATATAGTCAAAAGGTAAAGATGTCCATTCATTCAACAAATATTTATTAAGTATCCAATGAATGTCGGATATTGTTTTTGCTATAAAATGTGAGGGAATACATTTTAGTTCCTGACAAGCCTGTAAGTTTGTATACCAGGGCCATTTCCAAACTTCCTCAACATTAAGCATATAATCCAGCAAGTCACCTTACTTTTTGTCTATAGTAATCCATCCTCCCACCCTACAACTCAAAAACAAGTAAAGAGAAATAGGAAGAGTATGTTTATGTAAAACTAGAATGTCAAGATGTTTTATTGAAGACCTCTTTCCACATCAATGCTTTTGGAGTGGGGAGGAAAGACAGACTGGCAGGAAAGAGCAAAAGAGATCATTCAAGCTTTGTGTTCTCTGAAAACGCACAAGAACTGCCTTGAATAGACTTCTAAATTCACCTCTTTCTCATTAAACTCATCACCTAGTTTCTTATGTCCTGAGAGCTGAGACAGATCTTAAAGCTAAAGTCCAGTCTTCTTATCAGTGTAGAAACTGATTCCCAGAGAGAAGAAATGCTGTGTGCAATGTTGTCCAGGGACAAGATAGAGATCTGAGACTAGATTCTTTACTATCTTACCTAAAGCTTTCCCTATTACAACATGTTCTAATTGTCTGATGCAATCTGTAAGCAATCTTCGACTTTTTCCTTGGACCCTGGGAGAGATTTCCTCTCCAAAGTTACCTGTATTATCCATTGCATTGGACAAGAGGTAAGAGCCTTCAGAACTTAAACTCAGGCCAGTCACTGAATCTGCATGGCCTCTCATGGTGTAGGTTAGCTTGTTCTGGCGCAGGTCCCAGACCTGCAAAAACAAAAAGGTACCCCTGGATCAAACTAATAAAGTAGAGAAACAGAATGACACAAGAAACAAGAGTCAATTGCCCAGAGATACTGATAATACTCTACCATAAGATAAAGGATTTCTGTCAAAGAGAAAAACACCTTTGTCTTTTTTTTGAGACATGATCTCACTCTGTCACCTAGTACAGTGGCACTACCATGGCTTACCGTAGCCTTGACTTCCCAGGCTCAGGTAATTCTCACACCTTAGCCTCCCCAGTAGTTGGGACTACAGGAGTGTGCTACTGTACCCAGCTGATTTTTTTTTTTTGTATTTTTTATAGACAGGGTTTCACTATTTTGCCCAGGCTAGTCTTGAACTCCCAGGATCAAGTGATCCTCCCACCGCGTCCTCTCAGCGTTTGGATTACAGGCATGAGCCACTACCTGGCCAACCTCTGTCTTTCTAAAAAGGTACTTAAGGTTACTATGTTTGACTAGATAAATATAAACTAATGCATATCAAATGTTAAGATAAAGTTTTAAACAAAAACAATTCAGAAAGGTTATTTTCAAATCATAGCAAAATTATTAAAAACAAACTATTACAGAAAAAACTAAAGAGTGCTTAAAATGCTTAAACTATGATTCTTAGCCATTAAAAATTATTGGAAATACATAAAACCAGTAAAAATATGAAAAATATTGATGCTTAAAATTTTTCATTTAATGCCACAATATGTGACAATATGTGACAATAAATGTATACATATGTACATGTATGGGCATGTATGTATACTATGGAAAAGAAAAATAAATTATGTATTCACTATTGCTTGTGTAGGAAAGGTAAGATACAGAAAATAACCTAAATGTCAAGCAGGAAAAATTGGTGGTTTATTAAATTCTCATACAGGAGATAGCATGTCAGAGTAGAAAGAGCAGTGACTTAGCGTAAGAATAAACTGGTCCCTGCCACTTAGGGTTATGTGTCATTGGGTCACTAACTCTTTCTAGGCTTGTTTCCTGGTCTGCAAGATTAAGGATAACAATAGCTACTTCTTAAGGCTGCTGTAGATTATAAATAAGAATGCTAAAGAAAAATTAAAAAAAAAACCCAAAAAACAAAAAACAAAACAAAACAAGAATGCTTAGCATATGCCTGGCACATGGCAGGTCCTCAATAATGTGTGGTTATTGTTAAGCAGTTCCTAAAAATAACTCCCAAGACCAAATGTAAAAATATTTACATAATAAGCTATTAAGCAAAAAAGGAAAATACAAAACAGTATTTATCTTTACACAGATTACACACCTATGTAAAACATGTATTTTTAAGCTAACAGAAATAATCTGGAAAGTCACATGGAAAAAAGAACAGTAATTTTGTTAAGGTCACTGGTATTACATAAAATACAAAATTTCCCCCAATTTTATTTCATATTGCAATGTAGTATTTTTCTAAGTGAATACAATTTTTGCTGTTCCTTAAATCAAGACACTTCCCCTTATCTAGAAATGAGTTAGGTGTTACACACCACCACTTTCTCCATCAGTAACTCACTCATGTGTGGAGTCCAACACATTTCATATACAATCATTTTTTTATTTCAAGATGTTGTTCCTTATCTTCTGAGCAGGCACTGCTGAAATCTAGCATTGTAACGAGGAATGTGTTTTGCCAAACCCTCACAGAACTTGTGTGCTGTTTCCAAACTTCCTCCTTGAGGCCTGTACACCTTGTTTATACAGGGCCAAAAAGCATTCAGAATTTGCCACAAAAAAATCTACAGCAGGGGCTGGGCGTGGTGGCTCACACCTGTAATCCCTATACTTTGGGAGGTCGAGGTGGGTGGATCACCTGAGGTCAGGAGTTCAAGACCAGCCTGGTCAACATGGTGAAACCTCATCTCTACTGAAAATACAAAATTAGCCAGGTGTGGAGGCAAGTACCTGTAATCCCAGCTACTTGGGAGGCTGAGGCAGGAGAATTGCTTGAACTTGGAGGCGGCGGTTGCAGTGAGCCAAAATTGCACCATTAATACTCCAGCCTGGGTAACAAGAGCAAAACTCTCTCTTTAAAAAAAAAAATAATAATAATCTAGAGCAGGAATTTAAGCAAAACATTTTGCAAGTATCCTAATCAGCTGTTCAATGAAAATCTGGGCATCTGCTTAGTGGCAGGTACTGCTGGAGATTAAAAAAGAGATGTAGCCCCTGCTCTCAAGGAGTGTTCAGTGTAACAAGGAAAACTTAAGACATTCAAACAAGTAACGCGAGGCTTATGCAAGGTGCAGTTGGTAGTTGCAGAGGACAGAGGGGTTAACTCTGGTGGAACACAGGTGAGAGTGAGAAAGGGAAGCTTCCACAGAAAATGAAGCACCTGAGTGTAGTCTGGAAGAAGGAAGATTTTTTTTTTAAACTTAGACAAATAGAAGGGTATTTACTAGGAGAAGGTAATTTGTATAAGTAGAGGGGCCTGAAAAAACTGCTGGATTGTAAGAAATTAGGCACTCAGAGGCCAATGAGGTGGACAGGCAGAGGCCAGCTCATGAAAGGTTTTGAATGGCTGGCTTGCATTTTATTTCCTTCACTGGGGGATCACAGAAGGGTTCAAAGTAGAAGAATGAGTCATTCAGATTTACATTCTGGAAAGATCCTTCTGGCCCATATATTTATTTAAAAACTGAAGGGATGAGACCAGAGGATGTAAAGTTAGTGAGGATCTAACCTACCCGATTTATGTGTGTGTGTAGTAGAAATGGAGTTTAGCTATGTTGGCCAGGGTCATCTTGAACTTCTGGCTTCAAGTGATCCATTCACTTTGGCCTCCTATAAGTGCTGGAATTACAGACATGGCCACCACACCCAGCCTAATCTATCCTTTTAACCATTACATTAAAAAAAAAAAAAATTACAAACTGAACTCCCATCCTAACTAGAGCTCAGGATTATAAGAAATGCCAAAGACTGCCAGCCAGACCATTAGGCTCTCAAGTGACACATTTTCTTTTTCTTCATTTTCTTCTGACTCTCCAATCCTATCACCAGGGAGGAATTTTTAAGAGATTGACGGAACAGCATATCTGCTCACAAATATACACAGAATGTCTTCACCTTTGGTTTTAAAAAGGGTTCCCATTCCTTGTTTCTGTTTCTTAGAACAGGCAGTGTTACCTAAGATCGACTGAGAAAACAAACAAAAACCAGGCTCTCTGAGGAGCATCTCCTAATGTAGAGAGGCAATGTGGTGATTTGTCACGCAAGTGCTCAAGACTGGTAAGCCTCTAAGTACTTAAAAGGTACTTGTTGTCCTAAGTCGGCACTCGCCAAGGAGAAAGCCACGTTCAGTTCGAGCGCCAAGATCATGAAGCCCAATGGCAAGAAGCCAGACGAGTTCGAGTCCGGCATCTCCCAGGCTCTTCTGGAGCTGGAGATGAACTCAGACCTCAAGGCTCAGCTCAGGGAGCTGAATATTATGGCAGCCAAGGAAATTGAAGTTGGTGGTGGCCGGAAAGCTACCACCTTTGTTCCCGTTCCTCAACTAAAATCTTTCCAGAAAATCCAAGTCCGGCTAGTACGCGAATTGGAGAAAAAGTTCAGTGGGAAGCATGTTGTCTTTATCGCCCAGAGGAGAATTCTGCCTAAACCAACTCGAAAAAGCCGTACAAAAAAATAAACAAAAGCGTCCCAGGAGCCGTACACTGACAGCTGTGCACGATGCAATCCTCGAGGACCTGGTCTTCCCAAGTGAAATTGTAGGCAAGAGAATCCGCGTGAAACTGGATGGCAGCCAGCTCATAAAGGTTCATTTGGACAAAGCACAGCAGAACAATGTGGAACACAAGGTTGAAACTTTTTCCGGTGTCTATAAGCAGCTCATGGGAAAGGACGTTAATTTTGAATTCCCAGAGTTTCAATTGTAAACAGAATGACTAAATAAAAAATATATTGGCAGTATAAAAAAAAAAAAAAGGGTACTTGTTAATTGACTAGAGGTAACAAGATAGAGTGGTAAGATTATTAGCCCTCTAGAGATAGAGCTCTGGTCCTGGCTCTACCACTGACTGAGTGATGACTATTTGATCTTGGCCAGATCACTTAACCTGGTAGGGCCTCACTTAGTCACCTATGAAGTGAAAGATGGAGGTGATGTCTAAAGTTCTTTTCAGGTTTAACATTTCCTGAGTCTTTCTAATCGAGCCTCTCTTTTGCATGTTGAGAGAAATGTATGAGGTCTTTAGGACAACTAAGAGTCTTCCTGGGTTCGACAGAACAATTACTCTCTCCTCTGCATGTAACAATTAAAAAAAAAAAATGTTTTTTTGTTTTTGTTTTTTTTTATTGTGATGGAGTCACACTCTGCTGTCCAGGATGCAGAGCAGTGGCACAATCTTGGCTGGTTGCAACCTCTACCTCCCAGGTTCAAGCAATTCTCGTGCCTCAGCTTCCCAAGTAGATGGGACTATAGGTGTGTGCCACCATGCCTGGCTAATGTTTATCTTTTTAGTAGAGATGGGGATTGCACCATGTTGGCCAGGCTGGTTTGGAGCTCCTGGCCTCAAGTGATCTGCCCTCCTCAGACTCCCAAAGTGCTGGAATTATAAGCATTTTGTGCCAGGCCACCAAGCCACCATGCCAGGCCAGCAACAGAGTATTTTTAATAGGGAGAAGACTACCTTCTAAGTAAATTCTAACACACACATCCCTACCTCTCCAGTCCATCTCTGTTATATGGGAGCAAAAATAAAGAAATAATTCTAGCAACCTGGTTCAAATATTAACTGCTGCTGCCAGAAAACAATATGGCAGCCTATATGTATCCCAAATAAGAAACTTCCTTATACTTGTTAACACATTAATTTTCATCTGGATAGCTATTCTAAGAAAACAAATATGGGAAAAGTTACATGCACAAATATGTCTGTAGCAGCATAATCTGTGATTGTGATTCAATTGAAACAGCCTAAATGTTCAATGACATGGTTGTCACTAAATTATTCAATATTGTAATAATAAAAA